TCGGCCCCTCTGGGCTTCAGCCGAGGTGCGATCTGAGGTCACAAGGCCACGCGGATGCAGTGGTGCTTGAGCTTGCAAGGCAGGACGCCCTTGTTCAGCTGGTAGAAGTCGACGAGCTGGATCAGGTCGGAGAAGCGGGTGTTCCCGTCGTCCAGGCTGAAGTACACCTGGCCGTCCTCCTCAAACTAAGAGACACAAGAACACCGGCCAGGTGAAAGGCCGCAGCTTGTGACGGAACTGGCCGTGGTCGGCCGCAGCCCTGCCGCCCCACAGCGTGGATCCCAGGGGGCACACAAGGAGTCGGCAGGACGGGTGAGAAAGACGGCCGGGGGTCAGGAGTGAGTGGAAAGCGGCCCTGTCTCTCAGGCCCACTGAGCACAGCTGGCTCCCTGCCCCGCGGTGTCGTGGGGCGGAGCCGATGTCCCTCCCGGCCTGCCCTGCCTGAGGGTGAGGGCGACCGGTCAAGCTGCAGGTGCCCGCACGGGGTAAGGTGCTCCTGGTCACTCTAATAGTGCTGACAAACGTGTCCGACAGTGGTGTTCTGGGACTGTGCGAGGTAGAGGCTGTTTCCTGGTCCCAGGACCAAGTGCAGGGGCGGGGCAAAGGACAGTTGCCGTTGGGCCCCTCGGCCAGGGGTCCACAGCCCTCTCAAACCTCCCGGGAGCATCCTGGCCCAAGTCAGACAGCTCCTCAGATGCACGTGTTCAGCAGCATGCCCACCACATGCTGGCCGCTCACAGGGCCCCGTGACCTGGCCCCGGGCTGGCCGCTCACAGGGCCCCGTGACCTGGCCTTGCTTGTCCTCCCGGCCGGGTCTCGGCTGCAGCTCTGGGCCAGGTGGACGTGCAGGACCTTGGCATGGGGCCCCGTTTTCCCATGTTATTTCTCGGAAACGCCACCCCCATTCCCAAAGAACAAACTTCTTTCTCTTCCAAGGATCTCTTGACCGTATCTCACCTGCGAGCTCAGAACCGTACGTATTTAATGATCTGCAGTCTGGCTGCTTTATAACTGGGCAACTGCGTTCAGAATGAAAGCAGAAAGCCAAGGGCACGAGAGTGGCTGTGGGAACATCGGTACTCACGGGCAGGATCTGGAAATTCTTGACTTTCTGGTGGTGGCACAGTGTGAGCACGAAGGCCTTCGGGTTGCTCTGGCTGTCACGGAGCAGGAAGAGCCTGGGGGGGGCGGCGGTGATCGCTGTTACCTCCTAGAAGCCCGGACTCTCTACGTACACGCGCGTGTATACGTATTTGCACACGTAAGCCAGCGCATACACGCGTGCACACATACGCCCCTCCCTGTCTGGTGAGACAGGCTTGGAGCCGTGACGGCTCAGGATGCTGTGGCATCCAGGTGGCCTCTGGTGGCAATGGCACCCTACACACCCAGACGGCGGCTTCTAAGGGTCCCCCTTCGCTGCCAGGGACGAGGGCTCCTTGGCAATGATTAAGCAGCCCCGTGGGGTCAGGTGGGGAAAAAGCAAGACGCAGCTAGAACGTTCTGTTCCAGAAAGGAAGGAGTTGCTGAGAAGACGATGACCCAGGACGCAGCCTGGCCAGGTCTGGGCGTCAAAGCGAAGAGCAGAAGGGATGGAACACGAGCCACAGAACGGGACGGAGTCTGTGAGTCCAAACCAGTTTTACAAATAACTGAGCGAATACATTAGCGGAGGAGGAGAGAGAGAGAGCGAGCTCTTGCCTAGAGCAGAAGCCCAGCCAAACAGGAGAACGAGGCCGTCGCAGATCTCCGCCGATCGAGACCTGCGGTGGACACTAGAACCAGCGGGTGGACTTCTGATGCCAAACGGCCCCAAGGCACTGATCCTGTTTATTTTTTTCAGCAGAGCGGGGACCTGGCCAACTCGATCTTCACAGGGCCTCACGCCGCCACCACCGGGAACGACGTGGCCACCCGAGCACCGGCGAGCACGCTCTGGAGATGCCTGGATGGCATTTCCGGCTGCCCCGGCCAGAAACGCAACGCCCGGCCGAAGCGCGAGCCAGCCGACTCGCCCAGACCGTGGCAGCTTCTAGAACCAGCTTCTACTCCTCAAGAGCGCCAACGGGAGAGAGAGGAAGGCATGGAGACGCGCCGGCATAGGAGAGGTGGAGGGTTAGGAAGCTTTTCCTCTTGCAGAAAAATTTAACTGGGGCTGCTTGGAAAAGGGACTGTGTACGTTAGATGACAGACTTGCATTTGTGTTAACTACCCGATTTCGTAACATATTATGTTTAAATAAGGAGAGTTCTTGTTTTTAGAAATTGTAACAGAGATAATTAGGATTGAAGGGGCATCATGCCACAACTTATTCCCATATGGTTCAGACAAAAGAGAGAGCGAGAGCGAGAGCGAGAGCGAGAGCGAGAGCGAGAGCGAGAGCGAGAGAGAGAGACGGAGAGAGAGAGAGAGAGGGAGGGAGGGAGGGAGGAGGAAGGAGGTGGGGGCGACAGGGCAGACGCTAAGGCAATGGGCTGTGACGTGCATAGCTGTGGTAACTGGGTAAAAAGTATATAGGAATTATTTTTCTTGCAACTTTTCTACAATTTAAAATGACTTCAAAATAAAAAATATTTAAAAAGTTAAAACAGCACGAAGAAGCATACGTCAGTGCTTTCACAGGAACATGTGGAATGAGCTGGGGGACAGACAGATACACGTAGAAAGGAGAAGCCCCAACACCCCAACCCAGAGACAAAGAGACGGCCTGGGAGGAACGTGCTTCACAGGCGTCAGAAAACCGGTCGCGGAAAGAGCCGCATCGTCGGTTTCTAGATGAGAACGTTAAAATGAAAAGCAGTCAAATGAGACTGAAAAATCCTGTGCTAAAAAGATAAAAAAAGAAAAAGGTAGCTTTATGTATTTCACTGCAGGATTTCTCAGAGCCTTTAGGGTGGGACCCACCAGGGAGTGCCGCCAGGACTGCCTCCGGGGCCCCAGGTTTTCTGGTCTCACCTGGCCTCACGGCCCTAGCTTTCAGGACACAGCTAGGACGTGCAGGGTTTGGCTGGGGTGGCTGGGGGGACAGTGCTGGGACCCGCGGGCTCCGGGTGGCCTGTGCTCACCCTAGCTCGGCGCCCTGCTTCCTCTTCCCGAGTCACTTCATTCTAAATGTGCCGTCGCTACTAGCAACCTAGGGGTCTGCGGAACTCTGGGGCACCCCGGAGGGAAAGCCGGGCTGTCTCTTTCTCATCTGTCCCCTTCATTAACTCCGGACCGAGGAGCAGACACAGACGCCGCCCTGTCTGCCCTGCAGTCCGGGGGCATGACCCCGGGAAACGAGGGCGCGACCCCGGAGGCTCGGGTTTTACGGCCGCCGGAAGGTTTCACGTCTGGAATGCGGGCTGACCGAGGAGCCGGCCAGCTTCTGGCCCGGCCCTCGCGGGCTGCACGACGGGCCGCCTAGCTCTCTGTCTCGGCTTCGTCATTTGCGAAAGGGCACAGTGACGCCTCTGGAAGACGGTGGCTATCACGTGGACAGTCGTGCACGAGAGCATGGCGTCCACGGTAGCTGGACACAACCGTGACCATGCTCAGCAAACTGGATCTAGGGGTTTCTGAGAGGGACAATGGCGGGGACCAGGCCCAGGGCGGACCACGCACTCCAAGGGCTGCCGCCTAGGGAAAGCAATCCCAAAGGGACACAGCAGAAAAGGGTGAGGGCCCGCGAGGCCGCACCGGGAGCCAGGGACGGCGAGCTCCTTCCGGGAGGGCCAGCGCACTGGGGGAGGACGGAGCTGCCCGTGCTAGCAGTCAGGGTGACAGGCCAGCAGAGCTGCCGGTGCCAGGGCGGACGCCGATCAGTGCCACAATGCAGCTCGCGTCCCAGCTCGGCACGCATGCGTGCTAGCTCAGTCCTGCCCCGCTCTGTCCTCCGACGGTGAGGGAGGCACCGGCAGGAGAGTGGGCGGACCCCGGGTCCCTGGCCACACCGCTGGGCAGTGCCAGGACGCAGCTGGGACACGGTGCGGGGAGCAGCCTCCTCCAGGTGAGCACCGTGGCTCTCACGGGACCCTGTCAGCCCAGACAGCACTGTCTCTCAGCCTGGGGGGCGCTGCACAAACGCAGGTCTGGACAAGGGCGTCCCGGCCCTCCCCACGGGGTGCGGGCCCTGGCACATGACACGACATGGAGGCAGAGGCCGGGCGCGGGGGACCACTCCCAGTGTGCACACAGCAGGGCCCGGAAGGGGCATGGTGCCGCCAGTGACAGCACTCACAGTACCCCTGAAAAGACCCTTCTCCCCAGGTTCTGCGGGGTGGAGGGCTGTGGGCAGCAGGAGGGGACAGAAGCAGGCAGCGAGCTCAGGGTCGGGCAGGAACCCCGCCAGGCTGGAAGGGGTGAGTGCACACGTGTGTGCACACACACGTGCCATCCCGTGCGGGGGCCACCTGGATTCTGGGGTTGTTCTTTGAGTCTGGCCACTGACCCTGTGGGTGCAGGCAGCTCCGGCAAGGAGATGTGCCAGGGCATCTGAGTGGCCCACCGCGGAGCAAGACAGAGTGGCCCCTTTTACGCACCCGCGGGGACGCAAGCTGCTCTCTGCGGGGGCCGACCGCTGCTGGCCCTGTGCCATCAGTCACGGGGCTGCGCCCACAGCCCCGGGCAGTCCCCCCCATGGCGGTGGGCACGTGGCCAGGCTGCGGTTGAGGGGGCACCAGCCCGAAGAACTGTGCACTGGGATTTGACTGCTGTTGACCCCAGAGCCCCAAGACGGCCTTGCGGTAAGTGACCCCAGGCTAGCCCACCGGAAACACGCCCCATCACGAGGGACACGGGACATGTGAGGGAAGCCTCACGGACCTGGCCCAGCTGAGCAGAGCCACTCGGACACCCCGAGCGTGAGGAAAACGGCTTTGCCGTTTTAAGCCAGTGAGGTTCAGGGTTGGTTGTTCTCAGCAAAAGCTGATTTACTGCATAAATCAATAGGTGTAGCAAAAATATTCTTTCCCATTTGCTCACGACCTTATTAGTTAAAGATAAGTAGCTTGTGTTGTCGGTTCGGCTTCAACAAAAGAGGGAGGGTGACACCAGACAGAGCGGGCAGACAGGTGGTAACCCTTCTCACCCCCCCCCCCGCCGCCCGCCCTGGTGGCCCAGCCCATAATACTCGTCCCTCCCCTTTAACGAGGACCTGACTGCTGCCCACCGCCCCGAGGCCCACACGGTGCAGACCAGACCCCCGGGGGCCTTACCCGTCCACCAGCCCTTGCTGCTTGATGATCCTGTGGGACTCCTCCCTGGAGATCTTGCCGTGAAACCACTGCTGGGTGCGGTGGATCACTGTGGGGGAGGGAGGCGGTGGTGCTGGGTTCCAGCCCGGCGGCTAAGTCGCTCCGCGGCCCGGCCCCATCCCCAGCCCCCGGCCTCGGGAAGGTCGGCGCCCCAGGTACTGCATTTACCTGTGCTGAGGTTAGAAGGATGCAGGGGGCTCTGGCTGCCCAGGGCATTCATCCGTGTGCTTCGCTTCTGCTGAGAAATCCAGGTAAGTGGTGTTAGTGGGTGGGGAGGAGGAGAACCCAGGAGCACCCACAGGCATCCTGGGGCAGGAGGCCTGGAGTGGGGGGGCTGGCCCGTGGAGCGAGGAACACCCAGAATACTCCTTGAGGTCCCAGGATGGGGGTGGACTCGCTTTGTGCACAGAAGATGCCGGGGAGCTGGGCACATCCGAGCAGGAAGGCACGGGCCCTCCCACGCCGGGGCGCAGTCTAAAAATTCTGGGCTCAGAGGCCCCAGGTCGGGGGCGGGGGGGGGTGGGGCTGCTTTCCCAGTCCCTCTGAAGCCACGTTCCGGGTACACTCTGGGCCAGAGCTGCAGGCTCAGGCTTTACGCATTGTCTTCGAGCCTCAGGGAAGCGTGGGAGCTGGGCGACACTCTGCCACCTGGAGGTTAGGGACTGGAACCTCGAAAAGTGACCACTCAAGGCCACAGAGCGAGGTGGTGGGCACCTCATGGGCCGGCCGAGGCCGGGGCTGCGTGCTCTCTGTAGACCACCAGCAACTCAGCAGGCAGTCTGCACGGGCCACGAGGCCAGAGGCCCTGCCCCTCTCCGGGGCCTCGCTCAGACGCCCTGGGGACCGGAGGCCGTGGGGTGTGGCCAGGCGCTCGCGGAGGGGGCAGGTGCAGTGCCACCCACCTACCCATGGAGACCTCAACGCCACCTCCCCTCCCAACACTCGCCCTCGCTGACACCCTCAGAGCCGCTCTCCTGCAGGCCACCCGTGGGGGGCGTCACCAGCCAGGGACACAGAGGGCTGGCCATGGCTCACCCTCCAGGCGTGCCCCTCCTCCAGGGCGGCGCTCTGGGCTTCCGCCGGGTTCTCGATCACTCTTCCTGTTTGCCCAGAGAAGTCCATCGCCACCAGGGAGTTCTCAGAGACACTGCGCTGGAGGGACGAAGCCACACGCGCTTGAAATGCGCGACCGAGCCACGCAGCAGCCGGCCATCTCCGCACGAAGAGCGGCCTTTCCGTGCAGAATGTGGCACGGAGCGGACGCTGAAGGACCTTTAAGGTCGTCTTTTGAGAGGACAAGTGTTTCTGCACCTCGGGAGGTACAGCATGTGCTGGGAACCCTGAGAACCCACTGTGACCTCAGTTCTCAGCAGCAAAGGGCTGTCGGCGGGTCCCTGGCACTGGGGCCCCACGGAGGAAACGGAGGGAGGCGGGAGGAGCCGGGGCTGCGGCAGGTCCGAGCATGTGCCGCTGCTGCCCGGGGGGTCGCGGGTGGGGGACAGAGGGCTGTGCTCCCAGCAGTGCCCTGTGGAGACCACAGAAGCCAGCCCCCGGGACGTGGGACGCTGTGGGACATGCTGGCTCGCTTCTCCCGGCCACCTCCCCTGACATGGGCCCCCGGCGGCAGCAGGCGCGGACGTGGGCGTTGGCTGGGGGTGGCAGCTCACTTACCACCGGGGAGAAGGACGAATGTGCAGCCCTCCTCTGCTGGGGGACCTGGAAGCTCTGGTACAGCAGTGGTCCGTACTGAGGGCGAGAGCAGGAGTCAGCCCCCCGCCGGCCACCCGCGCCCCAGGGCCCGCTCCCGCAGCCTGTTACGACACAGAATCTGGGCACGCAGAGCAGGGACGAAAGTACAGTCACACGAACACAGAGATCTTTATGGGTTTCCCTCCCAGCTCTGCTGCCCACCGTGCCTCACGCGGCCCCGACCCTCGCTCTCTGCTGGCCTGAGGCGA